CCCACTGTCAATTTCATATGTATAGAATATTTTTTCAAGTCAATGGGCCATCGGACATTGTTATATTAAAAATTGTTGTTGTATTGTTTGCATTGTTGTATTTACGCAGCTGGTAACATTGTAAACAATAGTTTTGAAAATATGTTGAATACAGTAGTCAGATTTTTTAAATTTCTATTTTTTTAAGTTAAACTATTCTTTTTTGGGTTTATTCTTTTTGAATTATTTAATTGGATGGTAAAACAATAGAAACATACAAAAATATTGATTATTACTCAATATTATACAGAAATATAAGCAATACTCCTTAAGTGGGCGGGGCTACCCGACTCTCCCCTACATGTTACTGTGAAGGACCGAAATCAAGAGAATGTCGACTTTCACCGGTGAATGTCAACAATCACATAGTCGCTTTGGCGAATGTCCGAAATAATTGTTTTATCCGATTGGATATTAATTTATTCGTTGATATTATTATATTTAATCGATATTTTAATATCTGCTGAGAATAGATTAGGAGAAACATACATTTTCGGAGCACCGGGCAGTAGCACAAAGCCTTAAAAAAACATTGACGTAGGGCATACCGGGCAGTGGCACTTAACTAGACCTGGTACATATTTCGGACATTTACCGAAGCGGCTATGTGATTGTCAATATTCACCGTTATAAGTCAACAATCACCGATTTCGGTCATTCACATTAATGTATATATATTAGACAGAGTTAGTTTGAAGCAGATTCGACCGGTTATCAAACCCTGGCTCTCGTAACGAAAGGGGGGGGGGGCATTGATGGCAAAAATATCAAAATGATATGGGTCACTTTAAAGTTAACTGAACCATTAAACATATCTTTGCTATATCTGTAAAATGGAACTTAGAGACTCAAAATATAAACTGTCAAAATTATTACTTTATGTCAGTCTATAATTTATGTTATTTTTTATGATGCAGGCAAGTCGACAGGATTGGTGACGACCACACGCGTCACTCACGCCACTCCTGCAGCCATGTACGGTCACTCTGCGAGTCGTTACTGGGAGAGTGACGGAAAGATTCCGGAAGGAGACAGGAAACACTGTAAAGATATTGCCAGGCAACTCATCGAAGACGATCCGGGGAAAAACATTAACGTAACTCTCTTTACCCTTATTAGCTATTTATTCCAAACAAGCTATCGAATCTATTAACTTTCGAACGGTAGTTTTTTAAAAAAAATGGTGTCTTGGTTTAGTAAAGTGACTGTATTCTACAATATGAAAAATTTATTTTATATAGTATTTTATGCTTTTCTTTTTTTAAATTTCGGTGTAAGTTTTCGAAGAATTAAACATGCTTTGTGTGCTCAGGGGATAGAGCCTTCGCCTTCCAATGAGGTGAACCGGGTTCGAATCCCAGCGATGGTTAGTCGATACGAACCCGCATCCAGCTTACACCGACCACAGTGCTGGCGTGAAATTTCCTCATTGGTAGACGGATCATGGGTTAGAGTCCCCTTGCCGTCAGGCTAACCATGGGAGGTTCTCCTGGTCCTCCCCTTCATGTAACGCAAATGCGAGGTAATTCCATCAAAAAGTCTTCCACGAAGGCAATTTTCTCCCAATACTTGATGCAGGAGTTCCCTTGTCTTCTGTATTGGGTTCAAAATGACAAGGCTACAGAGTTGAATATTAGTAGTCGTAAACCCAAGAATTGGGTCAGCTGTTCAACGACGGTTATAGAAAAAATATGTTTTGTGTGGTAACTGTTAGTTATTAGCATTAATGTAGTATCTATGTTGGGTACTCAATGTTTGGTACTGAACAACAATAACAAGATAATAATTTATACCATGTAAATTATGATAATTAAGAACTTTACATATTTTTGTGATCGCAAATTATTAATAATTTAATATACTGTCAGTAAAAGAGTTCAACAGAATGTAAAGAAAAATGGTGCAATAAACTTGTTAAGATAATAAGTTACCAGTGATCAAATTCATCCCAGAATTGTTCTTTTTGGTCTGTGCCCAAAATGAAATTTTTTAAAGGCAAAGACCTTCAGATTTGGAGATTCAAGGATACTAGTATTTCTCAGTCAGAAAAAGCTTGTCTCGGTTACAGTTATTACAAAGGATATCATCAACAATAAAAGGGTGACAATGCCAACGCGGGTAAAAAAAAACAATAACTAATAAAACTCGGTTGAGTTGGTGAAACAGAAACGGTAGGCTAAAATGCGATGTGTGCAACATCAACCTATTACCACAATTAATTAAGCATCACTAATATCAATAATAATTTGGTGATTTTTTTCGCCCCCAGAAACTGGTTGACCTTTTGAATTAACTCAGGCTGTAGGTTTAAATTTAAAAAGTTATCTTCAAACTGCAGTGGGAGAAAGAGTGCTGTCTCCTTTTAATGAGCTGACCCAGGTTCGAATCAGAACGGTGGCTAGTTGATCCAATAAAGATTTTAAATATCCTCAATGATCCTGGATTAGAATCCTCCTACCGTCGGACTAATCGTGAGAGGTTTTCGTGTTTTTTCTCTTCATGTGGATAGGTTCCGTCGAAAAGTCCTCCACGAAGACTATTGTAGTTTGTTCCAGGAGTTCCCTTGTCTTCTGAAATGAGTTACCAAAACTACGAAGTTTATAACCGTAAACCCAAAAATAAAACAAAATGACGGCCGATTGAGAACCATTTTTGTCTTAATAAGATAAATTTCATGATCCCCAGTTGAGTTAAAACTCTTTCCTTTCGCTATCAGATGAAAAAAAGTGATTTTTAAATGCAAAGAAAAAAAAGACAGTCTTTTATTTTATGAAAAAAATTACAATATTATTAAAGATCAACAATATTTCAAAGCGCAAGATAAAGTTATTAATTCCATTATGTGAGTAGTTATGTTTTAAAATTTTGTTTCATAATAAAGAAAAATAAGCACTCAAATAAATTGGTAGTTTACTTCAAACTTTGAATATTTCCCCTTAAATATTCATTAATAATAATTTATTTTATGACTTTTTATAATTTAACTTTTGATACTTTTACGAAATAAATGATGAAATTGCTTTCCAAATTTATTAAAAAATGCTTTACAGTTAAAATGAGAAAATATACCTACTGTAAGGAATAGATGATCAAAATTCATGATATTTTTTCTTCTTGTTTTTCGTGGTAACCGTTTTAATGGATATTTTTCAATCGAAAATTTTGTCAAAACTAATTTATCGATTAACGCAAGCTATTAAAAAATGCGGCTAAATTATAGTTAGACCTGACACAGGGAGACCTGATTGACAAGCGATACAACATCTCTTTAAGGTTAAAACGTTTTTAAAATAAAAAATAATTCTATAAAATATTTTTAGAACTATCAGAGCTTCAAGTAGACCGGGATATCCTGGTTGGTAGGGCGTTTGGTCCATGTCCAATAGGTTGTGAGTTCGATCACTGCCAGTCGAAGATTCCCCGGCTACAAAATGGTGACTGGTTCACACTAAATCTGTCCGGGGCAAAAGTCCTCCAAGTTACCAAAACAAAACAACAATATCTCTGAGGGTACTAGATCAGAGATTGATCGTGCTCTGGTTCTGGTCAAAATTACGATCTGTGGATGTATGGAATGTGAATATGTCCTCGCTGTAAAACGGGCTGCGACGTATATGTGGCAGAAGTTGAATTCTCGGCCACAGATGGAGCCACTAAAAGAAGCGCACTCCTCTGCCTTAAAAAGTAGGCTTGTCAGTATTGTACAAGTGGCATAAGACAGAGCTTTTGAGTGAACTTATATATCAAACGAGTAAGGGAAACAGTTTCAACACGCGATTTCAAACGAAATATAACTACTGCTGAATCATCAAGAACAATAAATTTGTATGTGTGGGGGAATTTTAAAACTCTTTAGAATTCTTTCATTTCTTATAATTTTAAACTTATTAAATAGCATAAATCTTGGCTTGAAAATTTCACGCGCTCCTCTTAGTGGACAAAAAGACCTGCTCAAAAATCGATAGCATAGTAAGGAACCAAGCTGTGCAAGATAAAATTATATTACTTTAATTTTTACATTCCCCCTTCCCCCCCCGTATTCGGTGACTTTTTTTCCCCGAACAATTCCACATTTTGATTATTTTCATCAAAATATGTGGGCGTCTAATCCTTTTTTTTTTTTTTAAAAAAAAACTTTATTTTTGATTGAACAGCTACAGGTTCATTCGAGCATGTCAGAATTAAAAAAAAATAAATGCCCGATCGGAATTTTCACAGTCATATCGAGCCATACAATTTTCGACACGCGCAAACATATTCTAAAAAGTATCGCATATAGACACAAAATATTTGTCTCCCTTATCGCCAGCTACTTCAGTGTAAAAGGAAGAGAAAAAAAAACCTATTTGTATGCATTATAATTTTTCTTTTTTTCTAAAAAAAAAAATTCTATTTGTCGCAGGTGATTCTTGGCGGTGGTCGGGGCAATTTTCTGCCCGGAAAGAAAAACGTGAAAGTTCCCATGGAGATGGGACGGAGGGAAGACAAGAGGAATCTAATCGAGGAATGGTCAACAGATAAAAAAAGCCGGAAACTAGCCTCTAAGTATGTTTCCACGAAAGATGAATTCGACCGCGTTGACCCCAACAAGACGGACTATCTATTAGGTGACTATCTTCTTTCTTCTTATGTATGCTTTGACTATCAAAGAAGTACTCGATATTTATATGGCCTCTTCAGTACAAAACAACCCTAGTCTCACTCTTTTCCTTTTATAGTAAAAACATATTATTTATTTATTAATATCTATGTTACCAAGAGAATGTCGACTTTCACCGGTGAATGTCAACAATCATATAATCGCTTTGCTGAAAGTACGAAATAATTGTTACATCCAATTTGATATTAATTTATTCGTTGATATTATTATATTTATTCAATATTTTAATATCTGCTAACGATAGATTAAGAGAAACATCAATGTTCGTAGTACACGTTAAATGCATACTGGGCAGTGGCATCTAGCCTTAAAAAAACATTAATGTAGAGCATACCGGGCAAATATACACCAGGCAGTGGCACTGAACATTGAAAAATCACCACTGTAGGGTATACCGAGCAAATGCATACCGGCCAGTGGCGCTTAACATTAAAAAAACATTGATGTAGAGCATACTGGGTAGTGGCACTTAATTAGACTTGGTATATATTTCGGATATTTACCAAAGCGATTATGTGATTATCAACATTCACCGGTGGAAGTCAACAACCACCCATTTCAGCCATACACTGTAATTCAGTGTTCTACCTGAATCTTCTACCGGAAGTTGAAACAAACTAAAAATGCTGCCCTCTACCGTCGTGAACATGAAACATGATCGGGAATAAGCTCAATAGTTTTAAATTTGTTTCTTTTGAGTACAGTTGAATAGGTCCAAATTAATTAGCCGTTACGATTATTAACAAAACATTATTTACCCAAAATTATAATAATTGTGTATTTTATAAAGAAAAGGTTCTTTGTTTTTGTGCAAAACATTGGCTTTTAAGCGGAGAAAACGAGAAGGTTTGATGAGCAAAGCCACCCAATTCCTATAAAAACGTTTTTTTTTTTTTTAATTTTATGAAGTATTTTAAATGTTTTGAGTATTATAGGTTGCCCCGGCAACTAATCTCAAGAACGACTTTCGCATTATTGGACTTGTTGGAATAAGCCTCATTTTTTCATTACTTTAACCAACTTTATATTCTATTAAATAGGTCGGTGAAGAGCTTCCCAGAAGGTTAATTTTCTTTTAAAGTTATAATGGTGAATAAAAATCACTTACCCTTCATGAGGGGGATGATTACATTTTACAAAACCCTCTCACGTGATCATGAAACCGGAAATATTTACTTCTCGTGTTGATGACGAAGCGCTGAAACAAATTGAGCTATTTAGCTAAACAGCTATGAAAAGTGAACAGTTCTTATAAACAGACAATGAGTGTATATATTTGTTTTAACTATGCTTATTAATTTAAGTGTAATGACCGAGATCGCCCGGTTGACAGAGCGTTGGACTCACGTTCGTGTGAACGGGAGTTTGAATCCAGCCAGCCGAAGCCGCCTCTGGTAGTGAATGGTGACTGGTTTCATGTTAAATCTGTCGGGTCACACAGTTCTCCATGTTCCTTTAACAAATTTTACCTTTAGAGGTACTGAATTGTAGATTGATTGTTCTCTGGTTCAGGTCAAAATTACTATATATGGATGATTGAATGGCTATTTAAACGGGTGTGATGTATGGATGTCGCAGAAGTTGAATTCCTGGGCATAGAGGGCGCATCTGGAAAACAAGAACCACCTTGCTTTAATAACCTACGGCGACAGCAACAATAATTTAAGCGGAATACATACATAGCTATATTTTAGTTCTAATAAGGCTTAACAATTTACGCAAGAGAGAGAAGTATTTTAAAGGAATCTACTGGTCAGAAATACTGTATGAAGATAAATCTCGGTAGCAGACTTTATGGAACAGTATCTTCATAAATCCAAGTTTGTATGCGTCCTCTACCAACACTTCCCCCACACGAATCATTTTAGTTAGTCCGAACTTAAACCAAAGAATGTACATAGAGAAAGAAGAGCAGCTTCCGTAGGCAGCTTCAGTCCCCCAAGGTTTGATGTGGTCCCTGTGTATAAAGGAAAAAACAATATTTAGAGGAGCATCATTTATATCATCCATGTTGATTAAATATGATTACGTAAAATATGAATACGTAAAAAAAAATTACGTAAAAAATGATTACTTAAAAAAATGATTACGTAAAAAATTAAATGATTACTTTAAAAAAAACGATTACTCAAATCATTTATATCAATCATGTTGATTAAATATGCTGATTACTATATTTGATTTTTCAAATTCTTGGACCATTTCTGAGACATCCTGTAGTTTTTATGTCATCAAAACTTAATATTGTTAATTGGTAGGACTTTTCAACTTTGGCCACATGGATTACGAGGTGGATAGAGATGCAGGACCCGATGGAGAGCCTTCCTTATCGGAAATGACAAAAAAAGCAATCGAAGTATTGAGACGAAACTCAAGAGGATACTTCCTCATGGTTGAAGGTAACTCATATTTAATCACTCAATAACAGTTCTCGCCCTTTCAGAAATGTGTGGAAAAAGAATTGCTTTTAATAGGCTACTGAGCGTAAAGTGAGCAACAAAAAAAAAATCACACTGAATAACGGATTTCCACGTACTAAGTGGTTGTACTGGCTTAATGGTACCTAGGGGTGACCTCAAATGTGCTAATTATTTAGTGCTAACTATTAAGTTAAGAAATCAGACGCAAAAAAAAACTCTCTCTGAACAAACATTTTTTTTACATACATTTGGATTCTTGACCTTCATAAGATAGAGGGTAGTCGCAATATGGTCCCCATAGTTTGATCAGGAGAGCGATCCAAAGCTCAGATCCCTTAATGTTAATGTCACTTTTTGCGATTTTAGTCATATTTTTTGAAACTAACGTAACTCACATGTTTGGTAGAATGAAACGATTTTTTAAAAAATGAATCATACAATAATATTTTTAAACATACATATTTAAATCTTTTTAATATTCACTAATTTCTTAAATTATAAAAAAAAAAGAAATATCCTGATTTATGTAAAACCTTGTGAATGTGCATTATAATCTCTTCCAGATTTTACAGTATATTTTTCGTCATTCGCCTTACAACTCTGCATATAATTAAGATAATGCAAATTTGGTTTTAGTATAAAATCTTCATATTTAAAGAAATTAAAAACAGCTTCAAACATACAAATAATGCCTTATAAAAAGTTTATGGGTTCAATTAGTAAAATCTTGGCAAATGATAAATAATTTACATAATTTGGATTCAAATTTTATTTTTAAAGGAAATGAAAATAAATTTTTTTCTTTTTCTTTCTTGTGCAGAAATCAACTAAAAACAAACCTGTTGCCTAGAAACTTAGATATTTTTCTATTAACTATTTAAAGAAGAAAAAAGAAAGAAAAAGCCTTTTTGTTTCGAGTTCACACAAAACCATGAATGGCTTCAATTTTTATTTCATTCTTTTTTATTCTCTCAGCTTGGTTGCTTAGCAACGGAGTATTTCTCTCTTTTCGACTACTCAGTTAGTGTAGGGTTATGTTAAATTTTTACTACTGCTATGGCGATAGTTCTTGGCATCTTTTGGGGACGAAGCCAAATATTCATAACTTCCTAGCACCTCAATTTTTGATCCAATATTTTCGAAATTTTGTCAAATCCTCTTCCCTATTTTTTAGGGTCAGGAATCCAAACATGAAAAAAAAATTTGGTTCATTCATGGAAAGTGCGTTTTTGCGCCTAATTTCGTATTTAAATTAATAATTAGCATATTTTTTTAAATGGCGGGCACTTGGAACTATTGTCCATTGGCCACAGAAAGTGCCAGAGCTGCTAACTCTCTTTTCGTTACCCAGTGGGCACCTGTAGCGAAGCCACGGCGCTGGAGCAGCGTCGTCCACGTCGCACTACCACAACCCATTTATAGGGCGGGTCACATTCACACACAAAGGAGAAAGGACATAGAACACAGATAGAGAGAAAGAAACATCCATGCCTTGCCCGGGGTTCGAACCCAGAACCTTTCTGATGCAAGGACAGTTCCCTGCCCCCTACACAGGCCGGTCGGCGAGTAATAATAATAATAATTCACATAATAATTAGCATATAAATAAGCATATTTGAAGTGACCCCTAGAAATCATTAAGATTGACATTTAGTGCGTGTGAAATCCGATTATTAATACAAAAGTTATTATGGGTGATATATATATATATTTTTTGCTTACTGTACACTTTATGTACACATACTAGAGTTGAATACTCTTCTCGATTTTTAACAAAATACTTTCACGTGCGTAGTTTAAGGTAGGAATTTCTAACATGTGATCTTCAAAATATTGGCCTAGCGCTATATACAAAGCCAGGAAATTGATGACCTACTAATTCATACAAAATGCCTTTAAAAACTGAGTGAAAACCCTTAAGAACAATAAAAATAAACTCAATGAAAAAATAATATCACTATAATGTTTCGAATACATGTTTTGTATTGCCATTTATTCTAAATTAAATTTTAAATTGTAACTTATCTTACCACATTTAATTAAAAAAAATAAGATAATAGTTAAACTTAATGTGTTATTTATAAATAAAATAAATTACGAAGAAATACCTCATTAAGGTAAATGTCAATAATCAGTTTCAAATTTCTAGAAAAATCAGAATTGCATTTTCAAATTTAAAGATCTTGATCAACATCATTACTTGTCATCGGAGGACAAGATCCAATGCAAAATTTATGACGTTAATTTCGTGAGTAAACACCTTTTTCCTCCTTTTTTTCGTGTTCATGCCTTGACACGGTTTGCACGGTTGACGAGGTTTATTTTCACTCAGCAAAAACCTTTCAATGTAAACTTAAAAAGGTTTGTTATGCGGTTTACGTGTAAACTTTCTAACCTTAAAACAACATCTGGGACAATCTGTTCTATTCTACGCACATTACTCTAATCCAAAACCTTGGAAAACAACCTTCTACTATATAAAAACCTTAAATCGAGGTTGACGTAGGGTTTTCAAACGTGAAAAAGTCCTTTAATAAAGCTAGTCTCAAGGTGAAAATAATCTAAAATCTAAGTCATTCTAAGGTTTCTTTTCGCAAAGTCTTGTATATTCAGCTAAAACCCATCTTAAGGCCTGGTTTCTTAGGACAGGACGCCGTCAGCTGGAAATCAGCGCTAAACTCTGATTGGTCCATTTGTGAGTTTGATAGTATACGTCATCGAACGCTCATCTTGAACTACAATTGCCGTCCAACTCAACTGCAGTTGGATTACAACGTGACGTTAACCACAGAAGCAATGGCGGACAGCATTCAACAGCACATTGAAATCAGCCAAGATTTTGATTTTGACATTAAACATAGCTTCTTCATTAATCACAGCACTCTTCATTTAGCTCAGCTATAATGTGTTTTTTCTTGGACAAAGTCATTATTTGTTCTCTAAAACACTGGTCGAC